TCTGAGCAATACCTCAAGAACAGATCAGTTTCAGAATAAGAAAGCAAAGGACATCTACAAAACAGCACTCCCTTCGTTCAACAAATGGATGTCAGAGTGAACTTAATGCAATTTGACATGCATTTGAAGTTGTGATCCAAAAAGAGGAGCACTGTTAATGCCTAATTAGCATCATTAAATAATAAAGCAACTTTGACTAATAATTACCGCATGTAGCCATTCTACTACTCGAGCTGACAATTAACCTTTCTCAACTGGTGAGTTGCAACTCGAGCAAATCCCGTTATCAGCAAATATAACACATGGCACACACGCATACGGGTTTCAAACCTCACTCAAGGAAAGCTGTGGCGTGTTGATGGTTGGAAAGCAGAGCAACAAAACAAACAACAGATACCCCTTTCAGTAAACATCATCCATCCCCTCACACTGTCTTCCTGGTGGCTTAGAGGGGGTGGGGAATCAACTTTAGGTGCTTGTTGTGAATGTCATCGAACTACTTGTGTTTACGCCGGCTTAACATTGCCGTGGTGATGTCTATTTAAGTGCACAACCAATAGCTCAGAGAGTATCGGTCCAAATTCACTTCAGGGTGTAGCTTTTAGCTGTCTGTCATGATTTTAGACAGCAAAGGGAGTAGATGGTAATTAGGAGACATGCAGCAGTGTTGGAGAACATCACAAAGGTCTCTGCTGACCACTGCTCAATGACAATCCTGATCAGGTCTGTGATGTCAGATCACTGGAGCCAAAAACAAGATTACCAAGAGACAAAATAAAGGTGAAAAGGTTTTGGATTGAGCATTCTCTCAAAACCTCTCTCCCTCATCCCAGTTTGGCAGCACTTGGCTCATTGCCCACTCACATTGTGTGGACGGCCTTGCCACTGTTGCCATGGGGATGTGTGGACCTGCACAGACCTTGAAGGCAGAATGGCCTGATGGTGAGGTGGGGGTTATCATCATCAGCAGAACACTTTGGGCCACCGTCCAGAGGCCTGAGTGTAGTGGAAGGGCCCCCCTCCCTTATCCCTGCAGGGCCTTTCTCCCCGGGTGATGCTGCCGCTGTTTTGAACCCAACCGAGGATATGAGATGGTGCTTCGGTGTGTCCACTGGGGGGTCAGCTGCCTGACTCCCATAAGCCTGGGACAGACGGGGTGGGCCTGAGTGGGAAGGGGCCAGGAGAGGCTAGCTGGATGGTAGCCCAGCACGGTGACTGCCTGTCTGCCCAGGCGCTGGGCCACACTGCCACTCCTCGCTGGGCTCGTGCCCCTGCTCTTTCAAAGAGATGTGATGGGTGGGGGGCTCTCCCTCTCCTTTACAGGATCCCAAAGACTCCCCTCCACCACAACCTCTAACAGTTTTATACCACCAGTCTCTCTCCCAGCCCCCCAAATGTTCCTCCAACAGCTTTTCTGCTTCAGCCACAAACCATCTCACACTGTGCCATTCCCACCACTGCTTACTTACATTGTAGAGAAGAAAAGGGGGAAGGTTGAGCTGCACCCATCTGCCCCATGTCTTTCCATGCTGTGGACCATAATACTGCAGCATGGCTCTCTGAGTGCTATAAAGACTGGCAATTGGACTGCAGCCTTCAAGGGACCCCACCCTTTGTACCCTTGGTGTCAGCCACAGCAGACCCTGAAGCACACTATCTGATGGCAAAACATAATTGTTCTAGTCTATGCATGACAGAGGGGTAAGGCAGATGAATAAGAGTCCATATGTATTCCTTCTGAACTCCAAACACAGTCAAGTCAGATCCGGTGCCACGGAGTCTGCTAGACCACAAGCTACTGGCTCATCATCAGTAAGTATCCTGCAAACCTAAAATGACACTGACAGGCTGCGATTCAATTGGCTGAGACTTCTGTTCATCCTGCTCTCTGTCTAGGTTTCTCTCTTCATCGCTCGCTGCATGACATTTCTCTGGCAGGTCCTCTGGTGAAATTCTTTCCCTCCTGGTCTTAGCATTCCCGTGGCCCATCTCCCTGTTTACGCATAGCATGGTGGCTAGGATTGGGTGGGTTAGAGATCCCCCCCCCCTCTTCCCCAGCCCTCCCCTCCAAAAGCTGGTCCAGAGCTACAGCTTGTGCTGCAGTCCTCAACACATTCTCGTTGCCGCTGACCAGTCCCCCCAGCAACCAGGAAAGACGTGAAGGAATGAGAGAAGAAGGTTGAGCAGTTGTTGTTTTTTTTACCAGCTGGAGTCCCACCCTGATAAAAATTACAAAAAAAAGTCCAGCAGAAAGTTGTTATTCTCTGACTTCACACCTTACTTTCATCAATGTTTCGAAAATTAGCCTGGTTTGATATAATTAATGAAAGATGGACTCTTTGTAGTTACAAGACTCAAGAATCTACTCATGTACTTTATTAGGATTTTATGTGATAGAATTATGCAACTTAGAAAAGCTTTTTAAAACATAAATTGTACATATTTTAAAAATAAATAACTTCAATATATGCAAATGTATCTGGCCTCCCTAAGACAGTTTATAGAAACCCCTTCCTCTGCTGGGATGAGGTGTGGGCTAAGAACTTGCAAATGGGAAATAAAATTCCCTTCTTTCTTTAATATTTTTGGGATCTCCCAGAATAAGCAGGGGAGTGAGTCTTTAGATAGGTGTCTGGATTACCTTCTTAGAGATACAACTTAATTTGTATTAAAAAGTTAAATCAACACATGGCGGACAACTGGTTTCTCTGATTTAAACTGGAATTAAAGGAGTTGAATGCTGATGAGTATATAACCTTTTACATTTTATATGTAGTCGTTTTTTGAAATCCACATACTACTTTTATTTTCAAATAGGATCACAGATTGTAATGATAATATTCACAATAGATATGATGCTCTGTCTGTCCAGAGCTGCTCCTGAACAGCTCAAGTAAGCTACAGGACAGGAGCCGGACTGTCCCCTCCTCTGTTCCCTCCCACTTGTCCCTCAAGCAGAGCCAGACGCTGTGTTTACTCTCCTAATTACAGGGGAGGGGCCGGCTGACAAGCGAGCCATCACAGATTCCCCGCAGGCCCTGAGGGCTGGGAACCCTGCAAACACTTGCTGCTGTCTCCCAAATGTGGCGGTGATGTCCAACTGTCAAAGGGGGAGCCTTCAATGGCAAAATCCAAGGGTCCAAAAGAGATATTAAAGACATGAGAGGAATTGGCAGAGCTGGCACCGACAAGGAGACTACACTTGAGAAGTCGAAGTAGGGAGCTGGAGGCATCGCCAAAGTGTCATTCAAAGCAAAGTGGGGTTTGGACAAGGCACAAGTTCCGATTCTCACATATACACACACTGATTTCTCTTACAGAGTTACATTCACTACAACATAAGAGCTGAGAAACCAAAATACATAATAAAAGGATGTGCAAAGGGAATATGTGTTCAAATTTTACTCTCTTGTTTACTTCTTTCAGAAGGACATGACCTGTGGATAGGGTATCGCTCTCCTTTAGCTTTATTTCGTATATTTCCACTCTTCTAATCCAGCCACTAGAGTGTGTGCACCGTGTTATCTATCCTAGTATTTCCTTGGAATGTACTGTATCACACCCATTGACAATCGGAGTTACGTAGTCATCAGCTCTGCAGCAACTCTGCAAAAGTATTTTAAAAAACCATGGTGGCATATTTCGACCACTTAAATTCAACTATGGTTCAAAACTGAGTTCAAACCAGGCTTGTGCCTGTCACTGAGCATGAGGCAGGTCAGGTCACCAGTCCATCATAGATTTCTCCATTTTCAGGAGATATATACTTTTACAAATACATTTTTTTTTTCAGTATTAATAAAAGATGCTTCTTTAAGCAACATCACTGTATGATAGGGAATTTAAACAAAAACACAGTATCAATAACTTTACAATCCGTGGGACTGTGCATTTAGACCAATCCTGAATACGGTGGGTATAATGCAAAAAATACATCTTGAATAAGGAAACATTCACACTAGATGTGGTTCAAACCCATCTTATCAGCTAATACAAGGTAATTAACATCTAATTTAAATTAAAAAAAATAAGCTATGCGTAATAAGTGGTAACGAAGTGACCGCTATAACAGATTTTTCTGAAATACTCTATAGAAAAGCTTTTTGTTTTACTGTAACTGACTGTTTCTGTGGTATAATAACACTCTTTCACACAAACTGTACATAAATGTTAAAGTGTTATGGGCAGCTATAGGCTTTTATCTTAAGAAAAAAACAAAACAACTTCTTATTGTCATGGAAAAACATTTTACTCCTGTTTTCATGTCCTTCGTGGGTTTTTTGCAAGTAGACTTTAGCTTTTGGTCAGCTTTTCTATACAGCTCCTTTGGAGGAAGTCTTCTAAAGGGCCCTGTCATGGCTGGTTTTTGATTCATTTCTCCCCTCTGGATAATGATCCCAGTGGTGCTTACTGTGGCTTTGACTTAGAAAGTCAATCCTTACGCAATAAGATAATTTTCAAAAATAATAGAGGCATAAAAATCTGAGGAAAGTTCTTTTTCCAACATGAGATGATTCCTGTGTAATAGATAGGTAATAAAGAACATTTTAGGATGCTATCCTGTAAGACTAAAGACTTAAATTAATTAGGACTGTAGAAGAAAGACTAATGTCTGAATAATGTCACACTTGTTAATTTTATTGGCTTTTTGGTTTTGCAATGTTACATTTCACTTAAAACATTTCCAAATTTGTTTAGATTTTTTCTGTATATGAGGATTAGTTGCTGACAAAGTCCAGATTTTTTTTCCCCTGCTTTATAATCCCCTAAAAAGGCTCCAAAGCTGTTGGGAGGTTTCCCAGGATCTCTTTGGATGACCTTATCACTTATTCAGGTCAAATATACTGAATATATTTTTTACAAAAGGTTAAAAACTGTAGGATGCAAACTGACTGCTGCAATTAACCCCCCCACATTTCCTTCAGGCAGCACACACCTCACCCCTGAGAGGCAAGACAAGAAAACCACTTGATGAATCATGAATACTCACAGTTGTGAAACCATTTCTAAAAATTTATTATGGGGATTACACACAAAATCGCACAATGTAACATATTTCAAATGTGTCGTGAATGCCTCCAAGAATCCAATTCAAATCCTAGGTTACCAAATAAGCCTGAACAAATCCCCCTCACATTGAGTTCCCCTGCTTTGAAGACTGGGAAGGTCCGGTCTGCAGGGCAGGTTTTAGCACGCCATGCAGACTCCTCAGAGCACACAGGAAGAGTAAACCTTTAACACTAGTGGCAACAATGCTTTTACACATTGAAGTTTAATTATAAGAACAGTCACAGTCAATTAATGTGGCTCTTCACTCACAAGCAATTACAGAAAATGTTTGAGTATGTTAAAGTTGAAAATTGAATGAATATTTTCATGCAAAGGTTTTTTTAGACGGTTCTCATAATGTTAACTTCTGCTAATTTGCCTCTGTCAGCCAGTCATGACCTTGGCTCTTGCTGGAGGCTGGAGAATTGCACGTCGACTGTGTTCACTGCTTCCACTTGTTTGTTGGCAAACTCCTGCAGAAACAAAACACAAACACTTAGGGTTCTAATTGAAAAAGGGTGCCATAATAACAGTAGGACCAATTTTGGTAAACATATCTTAGATTTGAAGGAGGAAAAAACATCCAATTTTTTATTATTCTCACAATAAAAGTGTAAAATATAAACAGACTCATAGTTAAAATTATTTTCTGTCTTTCCTTAGAGTAACATTTCAGAGTGAAATAAAATGTCTGATTCCAGGACGCCTGCACTTAGCTGTGTCACCAAACTCTTAAACTAAATGTGAAGAAGGGGGTTTGCACCATTAATCCTTGGGGAGGGGGCTGGATGAGTACTGATGACCTCTTAGGTCAGTTACACGATACATTACACAAAGATTGAGCCTTTTGTGATAAGAGAACACAGCAGGAAGGCTTCTTTGTTATTAACGTCTTATTTTTATTTCCTATTTTGATTTTAAGCAGAACTCCTGTTTTTTTTTTAAAAGCACAACATCTGTAAATCACAATATCTCTGACCTATTAATCCAATTTTTTTCAGACAGTCAAAACTATTAATTACAAATGAACTACTGTATGAGACCCTAAACATAATGCCACTTCTACAATTGTTTCATTAATGCACTCTGCCTGGGAATACCATAAGTGAATATCACACTTTATTTCCACTTCCACGAAATTAAAATTTTATTCAAGATCATAATATACATACTTTTACTTTTACTTTAGTTTTACTATACATTGTAAATTATTTTCTCTAGCTCAAATTATGTAACTAATTGACAATTTAACTTTATTAATTGGGGTCAGAAAGTTCTCTGTCTGTTCTCTACATGTAATTCGAGTTTTAAATAATTAAATTAAAGTTATTATTGTTTTTTATTCCAAAAAAAGAGTAATTTTTTTTTTCATTAAGATGGTAATAAATTCTACAAACACATTCCTTTTAAGCAGCCATGCGAATATCCGTCAGGGCTTGTGAGACAGGCTGAGGAGAGATGAAAGCTGCACTAAAAATATATATTAATATGGTCGTTCGATTTTTCTCATTGCAGAGATATTACTATAAATGTTCCAAATGCAAAATGCTATTTTTTCTTAATTATTCCGCAGAGTGCTGGTTTATTCTCCTGAGACAGAGCACAGAGAGGGACAATGCATTTTTAGATTTTACCAAATCTAATAATGCTTTTTTTATTATTATTTCAAATATCATACCGGGGGTCAAACAGGCGGTGCTCGGTGCCTTTGCAAAGATGCGTGGCCGCGCGTTAACAGGCGGAAATCCCAGGTTGGAGCGGGCCCGGTGCAGAAATCAGCGCCCTCAGGTTGAGCGCAGCGCAGGCGGAGATAAAAGCCGCTCCTCGTCAATTAGCCAGGAGTCAGTGGGAGCGCAGCCCGCCGGAGGCGCTCCGCCGCTTCTCCCTTTAAACGTCCTTTTAAGATACACAGTCCCCGCGGAGGGGCCTCGCTTTGCACTTTAATAATTTATTTAGCGATTTTAAACGGTGAGATGCGGCAGATAACAGCATCAGACATCAACATTCTCCACGCTGCAGTTTCAAAACGTCTCAGATTGGGATCCATTACCATGCAGCTGCTATAATGAGGCGGCCCAAAAGGAGAGCCTAAATCATGTAGGCTACTTTATTAAATCATAATAATACTACTAATAATAATAATGTTAAATAAAACATTTAAAAAAAGGAAACATATGAGTTCTGACTTAATTTTAACAATGTTTGGAAAGATATAAAAATACTATAAACAAGAAAACCTGCAAACATTGAACTCTGTGGCCAAAACTGTTTACTAAATAAAGCTGCTTTGCATTTTTACACTATCTTACATTTTGTTTTGTTGTTTTGTAGTTTCATGCATCCCACATTCTTCCCAATGAAGTTTGAAATATTTTGCTTGCTCCTTTCGAGTTATTTTTTCTATTGTGTAATAATTGAAATGATAAATAGGATTTTAGAAGATATTTATCGAGATTAAATTAAATTGTCACACTATAGGAGGTAATCAATATTACACTCTGACCTGGGTAACATTATCTGTCTATATATTGCACAAATAAAACAAAATATATTATACATAAGTCATATAATATAGGCATATTTTTAAAGTAAGAAAAACTGCATTTTTTTTCTTTTTAACTTGTCATTTTTAGTCGAGGTGTTAGTCATTGCTCATGCACAGCAAATGTGTTCACTTCAATGTTCAAATAACCAAAATTAAGCTCCAATAGAAATGTTAACATTTTCTTTCAGATGACATAGTTCATAATTTTTGAAAAAAAAGATGCAAAAAAAAGAAAAGCATAAAAAGGTGAATACTGTAAAGGTTACCTGTATGTGTTTTCAGCTATAGCAAAACTTTTCTCTGTCTCAGTTCCAAATCCAACTTCTGGATCCATGCATGCTCCTCCTCCGATCGGAATCTGTCAAAAGAGATGTCACTGACTTTATAAGGAGGGTTCTGGGTGTGTGAGCTGCACTGCATGCAGCTCTGGGTTAAAATAAATATATATATATATATATTCCTCACAGCTGTCACGACACCTTTGACTCTGACCCTTTTCACAAGAGCCACGCAGATACAGAAAGAAATCGAGAGAGAGTGAGAGAGAGTGGCAAATGACAAATGAGTAGAAAAAAAAAAAAGCCACGCTCTGCCTGTGTTTATAAATCTAAATCAATATTCAAATCTGTTTGAAGGGAGCGGGTGTGTCCGTGCAGAGGCTGCAGAGAGAGTGTCTGTGTGTAAGAGTGTGTTTGATAGAGAGAGAGAGAGAGAAAGAGAGAGAGAGATGGTGTGTGTAGGTGTTGGAAAAAGCCTCTTAAGATGATACATTTACCAAGCCGTGACAAAAACCCTCAGCATATTATTTTGAGATGGGCACACAGGTTCAAAAATTTAAGTGACGCAAAAGAGGATTTTCTTTGTCCCACAGAGGCTGGAGGAGCTCAAATATAACATCTGTTCTACACAGCCAGGACAATTAACCTCTATTATTATTATTATTATTATTATTATTATTATTATTATTATTATTATTATTATTATTATT